ACACTTGTGTACTCTAATGAAAGCCCATCCACTAATAGTAATCTCATTGCCCTATATGGCTCTTCTAGTGAGCAGCTCCTTCCAGAAAGTCTCAGAAGCAATGGGAACTTTTTGGTAGTCCTTGGCTTACAATTATTTGTTTAGTGTCCATTCAAAGTTACTGAAAAAAGTGGCTTACAATTGTTTTTTCACATTTACAATCATTGCGGCATCCCCAGTCACATGATCAAAATTCAGATGCTTGGCAACTGTTATGTACCTATGACAGTTGCAGTGACCAGGGTCATGTGAGCACCTTTACTGGCTTCTAACAAGCAAAGTCAATGGAGGAACCAGATTCACTTAAAACCATGTTACTAATTTAACAACAGCAGTTGTTAAATTACACTTAACAACTGTGGCAAGAAAGGTTATAAAATAAAGCAAACTCACTTAACTGCCTTGCTTAGCAGAATAAATTTTAGATTCAACTGTGATCAATTGTGGTAATACATTGAGGACACCATGTAGTAGAACAATGTCTGTACAGCTGAAAGTCTTTGGGGGAATTGGGGAGCAGGGTTCTCAATCCATACAGAGTTTCTTCTGACAGCGTTTGGAATATCATTAGGCAAGGGAAGATTTACCATTGTAATCAACTCAGTTTGTTATGCACGTGTTCTGAAAAGTTTTTTAACTATTTATATCTCACTAACTTAAAAGGGATATAAATGCATTGCAAATTTGTAGCGAAGAATTATCAGTAATTCGATAAAGTGTTAACAAGCATGAACAAAATTATTAATTAAAAAAACTTGCATTTATAAAGTGTATGGGAAGCTTTTCTTAATCACATACCATCTAGCCAGGATATAAATTATAATATTAATTTAAAGAGTATAAAATTATACTCCACCACCAAAATAGCCTCAATCACTATTTAACTCAAGATTTAAGATGTTGCTTCGTCTTCTAATTCTTTGTTGGTTCCATCTACGGTAGTTTAGTCCAGGTTTTCCCCGCATATGGGAGTAGTTTGGGGGAAGGGATATGATAGGAATGATCACACTTAAATTCATTAATATAACTTGCTTTCCTATTATTAGCACCATCTGAGCCTGTTGAAAGTCTTAACCAGGGCTTTAATTTTTCCCAGAGGAGCTTTAAATTAATTAGTAGTTTACATGCTAACAAAGAATCTGATACATTCATAAATCAATCTAATGCTCAAGGATTTTAAAAAGGAAAAGAACCAAGCCAACTGGGACCTCATATTCAGTTAAAGTGTTGTGCGTCTTACAAAAGGGTGCAGGTGTGAATTAGACGGATGCAGAGTAGAAGCCATGATAATCACTTTGTATCACTTAAACCCACAGCAGGGAACACAGCAAAATAAGAACTTCTGGCCTATCCTTCCTGAAATCTATGTCAACCTAAAAGACTAATTGAAGAATTGATTTGGGCTTAATCTTTATGAAATAAAGATCTTGACAGCGGTAATTTATGCTACAGACTACAAAATAAACAAAAAAGTGATAAGAGTTAATAAAGGTTAAAGGAATACACCTAGACATTTAAAATGCTTCATTTAGACAAAGGCTATCAAACAGAAAAAATGATTTGTGCTGAAATATGGATCATGACAAATTCCCAATTGTATGCATTTATCTTATAGCCAGAACTATGTTAGATGAATGCAGGGGTGATGTCCTACAGTCATCTCAATGTATTATCAGAAGTATTCTTTATTCTTTCTTTATCATTTCTAAGTAATAAACCAAAATAATTTAATCTAAAAACTCTCTTCTACAACCTTGGGTGAGATCCCCGTGACCACTATAGTTGAGCATGGCAATAAAAGACACTTTGTTGCATATATCTCAAAACCCTCTGGTTCTTAATTTAAGTGGACATTTTTCCCACACCAATACTGAATACATTTATTGTTGTATCATGTTTTATAACAGAATGTTTTGTTACTTGAAACTACTGAATAGTTATTGCTATTAGGACACAACACTTTTCTTATTCTTGTTACCCTTTTATTTATTTATAATGGTTCTTGAAAATTCTGGAGAGATTTATAGAATCAAAATAAAGTAAAAAACATTAAAAGCTCTTGAAAATCTTCAGATCTGAATGTGATAACTGCAAAGAATTTCAAGTAGAACTAAAGGCCTAATGTACCACCAACTGTAGAGCAGCTGCACAGAGAAACAAGCCCCACAGAAATCAAATCAGGGCTTCCTCACGCCTATTAGAAAAGCCTTTTAAAAGAATTTCAAAAGTAAAGTTGAAGGATATCAGTTTTAACTGGCATAACATACCAGAATATTCTTCTTCATCCTTTTTTTATTTCATAAGCTGGATGAATAATTGGGCCAGAATGCCCAAAGATAGGATCTTCACAGACCCTTTTTCCTGGCACTTGAAATTTTCTCCAGAGCTTTTAAAAAAGTACCAGAATACCAAGACAGCAAAATTGACAAATTGAACCCCTTTTCCTTGAGACCAGAAATCAAGGATGCCGCTAACTGGTCGAAACGCACACAGAGAGAGTCCAATCTAAATGCCTTTGTCAGATTAAGCTAGTACTTCCAATTTAGAGAACAGAATTATGGTTTGGATTCCCATTTGCAATAGGGCTATTAGTGATGTTCTTGCAGAAAAATAGTGAATAGGAGAGACAGTGTTCTTAATGCCTCTGACAATAAGCATTCATTGAGACATGAAAATTCAGCCTTTGAACTTTTTACCACCTGATGTGGCAAGTTCTATCACCAATATAATATTGTCTGGGAACTAAGAAATAGAAGCATTAGCATCACTAGCATTAGCATCACTGGCCGTGCTGAGGACAGGCCATATAAATGCTTGAACTATGAAAGGTACTGGTTATAATTAAAAACTCAGCTGCTAAAGCTGTTTTTATTACAGTAAACTGAAGTAGGGCAAGGCGAGGGTGATGTCTCAGTCATGTATGAAGACAAGTAACTGAGACACTCAGAAACCGTGCATCTTTGTCTCTAGGAAATCTGTTATAGCTTCTCAAATGTATTTCAAAGATGCATAAGCTCTCTTCCATTATAATAAACATGGGATACAAACTTATGCCTCAGAAAAAACTTAGCTTTATTGTGGGATAAATAAATGCAAAACGATATATCCAAATTACAGCCAGTCTTCGTCTTGCAACTCCAATTGAGACTGCAAGAACCAGTTGTAAGTCACTTTTTTCAGTGCTGTTGTAATTTTGAACAATTGCTAAACACATAGTTGTAAATCAATGAGTACCTGTAATTCTACTACTGCTTATTTTGCTCAAAATATTATATTCAAAGGAGAAATTAATTTTGAATTAAATTTATGCTTGGCCATTTATACTATATAGTGATTAGTATTCAGCTTTATGGATAGGCATCATTTTAAGGATCCTTGAAATGTCACAAAATCATATTTATGATTATGATACTGGAAACAAAGAGACAGCATGTTCCATTCAATTTTTATTAGATTTTTTTCCCCACTTGTTTTGTGATACTTTTTTCCACAATCAATTTTAGCCTCAGCTGAATAGACTGGTACAGGACAAATGCCAAATGACATAGATAAGTGAAATATTAAATTTCAAAATACATCAGAGGGACAGACAAAAGTATTTAGAAAAATAATGTTAGCCAATAAAAAAGTATTAAATTCATCTATCAGGAAAAAGGGATGCTTCAGAAGTTGTCTTTATCCCCTATTATCTTGGTGTATAGAAGGTCTGTAAACTGCATCTGTTTCACCAGGTTTTTAACTGTTACATGTTAAACTGTTTGGGTTTTGCTTTTTTCTTTATCCCTTTCCCCCTTTTTTTGTTTAATTTTGTTGTTTTTGTTAGAAGCCAGATCCTCGCAGAGCAAAAAGGGCTATGTAGATGCAGTTAGGCACATACATATATGAAATAATTATTGGTCTCATTAAATTTAAAATTATAACAAACCAACTCTAGAATTTTGGCCATGATTGTATTCAGTGTTATGTCACATGAATGATACTGTAGATCCAGCAAAGTCTCTAGGTTATCTCTTTTACAACATAGCTCAAAGAAGGGTATGATCAGGACCCAATGTCTACAACTTCTAGTTTATTATAGACTACACACCAGGCAATTGAGTTTAAAATAAATGCTAATTGGACTGAAAAACATAACTTGGTTTGTTTTAATGAATGTTCTCTGGCTTCAATGTACACAAATCACAGTAACTGAATCCTCCTTCTGACCATGTAAAAAGACAGAAAGGAAAGCATGAACGATTTGGGCTTCATTCAGCCTCACAGAGGTCCATCCAGATAGTGCTAAATCCTGATTTATCATTATATTGAATCAAGCTTTTATCTTCATATGATCCTTCAGCTCAGCGCAAGGAGACCTCATTCACAAAGTGAGGGCATGAAACAAAAGTGCAAATAAGGTTCATGAAAAATTTAAATCTTGTTAAATTAATACTGTGATTACCAATGCTAATTTTGCAATGTAACTTTCTAATGCTGTACTGTAAATGAATCTCACAAGAACAAAAAATCTGAATGGGTTTAAGACTAAGGATTAGCAAAAGCAATCTTTCAAGTATTTTCATGGCTTTCTTTGTCAATTGCCAGTAATGGGTGATTAATTACTAATCAAGTGTATCTAATTCCAAGCTCTAATTGTCTATTCATGTACTTAATTATTATGATTTTTCACTTGGTCATCAGAAGGGAAATCAGTATTTTTCCTGATAACATTTTCCCAGGATTTTTACCTTGTCCACATTATGATGTTCAAAAAAAAGGAAAGGAGGGGGAGGAGGGAGAAAGAGAAAGGGGGGGAAGGAGGGATAGGGGAGAGAGCGAGAGAGAGAGAGAGAGAGAGAGGCCTTAATAAACTTTTGACTGCATTTAGTGCAAAATGCTGCATTTGCTATCAAAGGCAGCATGATTGAAGGTTTAACTGCAATGCAACTGTAAATACAAATTGGAGGATTGCCAAAACTTACCATTGTTCCGTCACTCTTACTGCGGGCAACTTCTTGCTGTAGCCGAGCCACAGATAACTTTTCCCTATGGAAAGAAGGGAAGGGTAAATGGCTGCTCATTTTGCACTCATCATTAAGGATAACATTTATATATCACTGTGGAATTTATGATTTGTCAGTCATATTCTTCAGCACTATTTGCTTCCTCGGCCATATTTTCAATAATTCTAATACTACCAGGATTCTTTGTTTAAGGGACTGAATGGTATAAACCAGGCCTACACAACACATGCAGCATTATGCAGCTTGCCAACTTTTTTTTTTAAAGTAATAAATTCACCATTGCCACTACCCAAAAAAATGTGATGACAAGCGTCTCCGAGACTTATTACTATTGCCAGCCTCAGTGCTACTTCCCTCTTCTAGCCCCAAAACAGCTCATAGCATGTCAGGTATTTCTTTATAGCCTGTGAGGACTTTTAATTTATCAGTGTGGTCCCTTCCAGCTATAAGGCCAGGTCTCAGCACCACATGTGCAAAACCAGTTTGGGTTGTGCGTAGTGTTTAAATAAACAGGTTTTTCTTTCTCTAGATTGCATTCTACAGCGAGACCACACATTTCTTCCTTTAACTTGTGTCACAAGATTCAAAGTGAGCTTTAGCATCTTGTTAAAAAGAAAACAGTTCTAATAAAATTGATTTCTCACAATTGAAAATCTAAATCCTAGCAAATTCCATAAGAAAATCCCACCTGATTAAATGACTCTTTCAAGAAATCATTAATGAATCATGAATCACAGCATATGACAAATACTTTCTATATGAGAAGCACTCACAAATTTTATGGATATGGTAAACAACAGTGGACTGATATATGGGAATGCTTTGGGAGAGGGAGAAGATTCAGAGATTACACAATGGTTGAAGAAGCAGCAGCAGCTAAGCTCACAGAAGGAATGGGAGAGGGACAAAAATGGACCATCCCTAGTTTCTTGGACAATAAAGATAAGAGGAGGAGAGAGATGTACTTTCAAACTTGCAAGGTTTTGTTAATGTAACCTTACAAAAAAGACAGAGTTAATACTTTTGGTTGTTCTTCTTGGCTAGACTATTTCACAAGACTGACAGCAGGAGAGTACATTAACATTATCCTTCATTAGTCCAGTTACTGTATGTTCTCTGGCACTTATATCATGCATGACCACTGGCCATATACATATACAGTAATATAGCAATTGCTCAGATGAACTACACTGGTATTCTTGGACTTCCTCAGCTATCTGTGTAAACAGGACCATGCAAAACAGCATAGTCCTTGATATCCTTTTGGCACCTTAAAATCAAAGAAAAAATAAGCATGTAAAGTCCAATATGTGTTACTCTGATAGGTGATTAAAGTTATATTCCACACATGTCAGCCTATAAAATTTCTATCTGTAAGGCAAGATTAAATCCCTTTAAATTTAAGGTAGACATTTGTCAAGTTCTCTCAAATCATACTTTGCCTTGAAATTCAAGAGCTCGGGATCAAAAGCGCACATTCTGTTTCTTCCAAGCCAGGGAAGTCCCTCTTGAAGCATCCTTTCTTGAGCTCTGAATATTCTGCTCTCAGCACCGCTAATAGGAATCTCCATTTTTTAGAAATAGATTCAGACAACACATGTCCTAATGACTCCCTAATCAGCATGTTCCCTGCCAACTAGTCCCCCTGAGAAAAGCTGGCTTAAGTACAAGTGCAAAGACGATGACATCAAGGATTCTTTTCAGAATCAATCTGACAGGAGGAGCAGCAGGCAGAAAGCCTGTGGAGCAAGAAGAAAAAAGCCTTCTATAGGGAGATTTATGAGGATCAACAGGGTACCTTTTGATTGATCATCCCTATGTATGGAAAGTTAGTCTTCAGTTAGCCTCATTCTCATAATAGGCTGGAACCAAGTTAATAAATTTGCTTCTTACATATTTATTACACATTTTCTCTAGGTCTACAATGGCTGCAAGTCTTTTTTGTTTTAGGAATCCTAGTAAGGTTTGATAAAGCAATATAGTCCTTCTTATAATATTAAATTTTTCAATTGATCTTTTCCAATGATTATTATTTTAATTCAAAATTATTTTATGAGATAATATTCTGTTAGTCTTACCATTGCATGTAGTAAATATTGTGGAAATAGCTTTTTTCATTTGCCAGGAGAATTTATATATATTTTTACATGCTTTATTGTATAAACTATTTAGTAGCAGATTTCATTTTAAAGGGGGAAAAAGTTTATCCAAAGGTTTTTGAAGAATTTTGAGAAAATCTCTAACCATTGCATTTATTTCTTTTGCTTGCTAAGACATACAGCACTGAGACTTATCAATGTAAACATACTAATAGGTACTAAATATATTTCTTTCTATGCCCAATTCCAACTTTCCAATTTCCAGCTAAGGAAAAAAATGAATGTTTTTTAGAAATTATTTATAAATAAAGTGTATGCTTTTCATCTCAAATATTGACTTAACCTTCTTAAATGAATCTGCTTATAACTAAGTATTTAAAAAAGAGAACTTGTTTGTTCTCTCATATCTAATAATTGTTTTTGCATAGATTTCTGAAACAATGCTTTCCTTTTTGTAAGTACATGCCATTCTGTGTGATAGACAGTTAAGCACTATATTAATTAAGAAAAAAATAAAATATATAATAAACTATGTAATACATAAATTTAATGTACCACAATAATTAGGAAACTACCAAAAAGTTCTTTAAGATCTGGAGCCATGAAAAGCAAAAATGCATGAGACGCATGAGAGAAGGTACACAAGTCAAAATGAATTGCTGACCCTTCATCCTGTCAAAGAATGACATATTCTATCATGAAGTAAAACTCATTCATTCATTCATCAAATTAATATAGCCACCCATCTCACAGTAAAGTGATTTTACAATAAAATCAATTATAAAATAAAAATGTTAAAACAGCTACAGTTAAAGGGCATGAACAATATTATTAACAACATGGTAGAAAAAATTGATATTAAAAACAAGGCAGGCATTTCATCAAATCACTGTTGCCTGGTCTGCTCACACAACCATGTTTTAAGGGACTCCTGGAAAAACGTCAAGGATGCAGCCTGTTCCACAGGAACAATGAGACAATATTCCAGGGTGGGTGCCACAACAGAAAAGGCCTGTCTCCTGGGTCCCGTCAGATGAAACCCGTTCACAACCTACCTCTGTGGGACAGATGGAGACGATCCCTCAGACACTGCAGTCCCATACCATGAAGGCCTTTTACGGTCAAAAACAGCACCTTGAATTGGACCTGGAAGCAGACTGGCAACCAATGCAGCTCGCTAGCAAATGTGTAATATGTGCCAGTTCAATGTTACTTGAAGTAATCACAGTATACGAATATATAAAATCTACACTTTAAGAACCAATTTCTTTAAAAATGTCTCAGTATCATCTGACAGTTCAAATCCTTGATAAACATAGAAAAAATACAGGAGAGGGACATCTGGCCCTCCACTATAGGCTTTAGCTAGGCCTGTAGACCAGTGGTGGGTTCCAGATCCCGGTGCACTCAGTAGGGTGCAACGGGCCCCGGCAGCCACCACATGAATGTGTGCAGAGTGCACATGCATCCTTATTTCCTGCGATGCTCCGGGACGCCTCCGGGATGCTCCAGCTGTTCTGCAGAGCATTGCGCAAGTGCTGTACGCTCCTTGTGCAGAAGTGCCAAAGAGCTCAGATACAGGTAAGGGCAGCGGGCAGGCCCTCCGGAGCACCATACCAGAACGGTACCCGGTGCTCCCGGCAGGCATCGGTGCACCCGTACCAGAGCGCGTTGCCTGCAACCCACCACTGTTGTAGACACATCTAGCAGCCAATTACTTTATACCCAATTTCTTTTTCTTTAATATACTGCAGAATATATTCACATAAAAAATCGCCTACTTTACCAAAAAAAAAAAAAAAAAAAGATCATGCAATGCAGTTCTCAATGTGATTATGCTTACACCCAAAAGCAAGTGATACATTTGTCTCTCAACATTTCCCTGTCAGCTACACTTAGTATGAAGTCTTGCACGTGCATAAATAGCTATATGTTCAATAACAATCCAAAGCAGACTGCTGCTATTTTCTCAGTTATCCTAACAAGTAGGCTATATTCATAACTACCTGTTAGGAAAGTGCCACACCTTGTGTGGGATCTCACAAAAGCTTTTTGGAACAGAATACTAAGCACTGAAGAAACACGCAGAACTTTGTATTATTTTTTTGAAAAAGAAATTGAACTCTCGAAACAAATTTAAATACAACAAAAGAAATACATGTAGGTACTCCTTGACCTATGACTACAACTGAGCGCAGAATTTATGTTGCTCAGTGAGAAATTTGTTAAGTGAGTTTTGTCCCATTTTACAACATTTCTTGCCACATTTGTTAAGTGAATCTCTGGAATTGTTAAATTAGTAACTTAGTTGTTAAGTTAATCTGTCTTCCCCATTGACTTTGCTTGTCAGAAGGTCACAAAAGATGATCATATGATCCCGGGATACTGCAGTCATCATAAATATGAATCAGTTGTCAAGCATTCGAATGTAAATCATGTGACCATGGGGATGCTGCAATAGTCATAAATGTGAAAAATGGTTACAAATCACTTTTTAAGTGCCGGACAGCCGCTACTAAACAAACTGTTGTAAGTTAAGGACTACCTGTACAGATAGTAACTATCTAGTTACTGTTCAAAGTTACAATGGCACTGAAAAAAGTACCTTATAACTGATCCTCATACTTACAACAAACACAAGATCCCACGATCCTGTGATCAAAATTCAGTTTCTTGGCCACCGGACTGTGTTCATAACAGTTTTGTAGCATCCTAGGGTCATATAATTACCATTTCTTTCTTTCTTTTATTAAAGCTTTTTTATTTTTCCATTTTCATAACATATAATTACATGTATACTATTACATAGCCAATATCACGTTGTATTATTAAATGTTTACATCAATTCATCTTACCAACAACTCCCAAAAACAATTATTGGCACTTCTGCTCTCCATACACCATATATGTACTTTGTCCATCA